CTCTACCCACTTGTTACCTTTATATTAAATCACATTTCTTTTTCTTAGTGTTTGAGGTAATTTTAGCCTACAAAGTTGTCACTTCTGTGTCCAGACCTACAACGTATTTTCCAGCTTGCCCTAAAGACAGGATTAGGCCAGGTCATGTGGACGGCTGGCAAGCGTAGGCCCACTGGGATTCTAATCCAGGTGAGTGTGGCAAAGCCCCCATCCTAGCTCCTGCACCTGGCTTCTGTTCTTCAAATGAGTGGAGGACAAGGCCCAACTAGGAAGAGCATTAGCAACACCAGTGAAGGTCCTAGTACTCGTGCCTGCTGCTGGTGAGGGCAGAGATGCAGTCTTCCGTGTCGGAGGTCTAAATTGATGAATCTGCACCTAACAGCTCCGTGTGTAAGGAATGCATTTTTGTAGGAAATAGAGAAGTGATATGCAGGCAGTTGAGTTTATTTGGGTATTTTTACAACAGTGAATATTTGGAAACTGCACATGTATCCATCACTAGAGGGTTTTTTTTCCATAATTTTATAAACAAATAGCAGTGAGACAGTTTCAAACCAAATTGGTAGGACAGTTTCAATAATTAACACATTGCATACATTCTTCCTAGTGGTTAATTGTACAAGATGCGGACATGATATCCTATTTACAAACACTATTAGAACTAATCCCTCTATTCATTAAGAGAATGTAACTATATATCCTAACCATTTTGAATACACAGATACAAAATGGACATTCATCTGTATCTTTTTTTGTTCTGTTATTTCAATATTATAGGTGTGTTAACTCAGCAAAATATTCTAAAAGAATCTAGTAGTCCATAATAGTATGGGGCTTCTGCTTCACTGGCAATGTCAGAAATTGTTGACCTGAGTACCCTACAGCACAACATAACAGCATGACTTTACTTCTTATACTTCGTTTTCATACTTCTCTGCTGGATGGTTAAGACCAAGGTAAAGCAGGACCTATGCAACAAGAGTTGTAGCTTTTGGGTCTGATAAGGTCAGTCAAATCCCCTCAGGGTTTATCCTGAGATCCTGTACCTCAGATTTTAGATCCTTTGTCAGTGTCAGCCATGTGGATGAGTCATGGCCATTTCTTGGCCAATGTGCTTTCTGTGAAATCCTGAGAGAATGTTTTCTCTCCATGTGACTCTCCTTAGGCACACTCTACATCATCGATCACTTTCCTCTTTGGCCCCATAATCTCCTTGATCAGAAAATTTGGGACACTACCGAGTTACATGATGTTACAGTACAAGTTCTCATATGTCCTGAGTTAATTGAACGTGGAAGGCTAGAGCCAAAATGTTGGCTTTCCTTGTGGCCCTCCTTTTTCTCTAATTTTGGTCTGCAAACTTAGGTTGTTAACCCTCCAGAAGAAAGGCTTATTGTTATTACCATACAACCTAGGCTGTTAAGCTTAAGCTCCCTATCTGTCTGAATATCAAACATTTTAGGCATAACATGGAACAGGTATTTTTCTTCAAGTATTGATACATTGAGCTTTACAGAATATGATGAAAAAACATTTAAAACTTAGAATATATTTTTAAAATAAGCATAAATAACTATATACTTCTTATGTTTGCACATAAGTCCAAAAATCTCACCATATACAACCTTGAAGCAGGACAGTCCCACAACATTCCTTTTCCTGTCTCCTGCCTTCATTCACCACCCCCTTCTTTTTGAACAGTCATCTACCCGAGAGACAGCACAGCAGCAACTGACATGTCATGACAAGCAGCCCATATTCAGAAGACCAGAATGACAGGCACTACAAGCATGAGCCTACTATTACAGATTGCCATCTTCAGTGCAGTAGCTTAGTTCACAGGTATCAGTATATATAGTTAGTCAGGGTGAGAATCTTTCCAATTAACTGCTAGATTAAAAAATCTGGAGATTCTCAGGATCATTGCCTTGCCCATCTTCTAACATATAACTATGGCTTGTCACTGTCATGTTTCACTAGAGTTTTGATTCATGATAAAAGGTCCCGAACTTAAAATGGTTCGTTGTGATTTTGTGATTTTCCCACTTGATGGGGTGTAAACACGTTCAGTAGAAGCCACTTGCAATTGGACGGGCTAGCCCTGCATGGCCCGGTCTTGTGCTGGGCAATGCCCAAGAGCCACAGCTCCTGCAGCGCCACAGCTGCATGGCAACAGCATGGACCTGCGGTGAGTGGTGCTGCAGAGCTGGGAAGCCAGGTCAGGTGTGCCGCCCACATCCTCGACCTGTGGAGTGTGAGACTTTTCACTTTCACCATGGGGTTTTCAAGCCAGATGCCTATTATAAATCAGCACAGCAGCATGTGACAGCCACCTGGGCAAACATAATAGTAAATGTTTATGAAATCCTAGGTGAAAAGAACACATTATGAAATGCCATGTGTCAAAAATGCCATCTTTTATTTGCTATATTTTAGGGAAGGGTCTACAGGGTGTTCAGGGTCTCACTACTAAATCAGACTCATAGTGATCTGCCCATTTACAGCCTCCCAAGAGCTAGGATTACAGGCATGCACCACCACACCCAGTCTCAGTTGCCCTCTCAGCGTGTCCCAGGTCCAGGGACGGGGTGGGGCCAGCATGGCAGGCTGGGGATTGAACTCCCAGCCCCTGTGCCTGTTGGCAGGTGCTTTAATCTGCTGAGCTATTGGGCTGACCTCATCTTAACTTTTTAAAGGCTTACAGATGCCCAGTAGGAAGTGACACTCATTGGGTTCCCAGGTGCTTCTCGGCTCTGGGCTTTGAGGGCCACTCAGCCTGACAATCAGATTAACCACCTGTGGCCACTGTGTGCTGGAGACGGCACCAAAGGCCACCAGGTTGGCCGCCTGCTGTGCTAACGTGTGCCAGCTATCCTCCACACTCGTGTGTAGCCGTGCAATTCTGAGTCCTCATTCACTGTAGCTTCTATCTGAGTGGTCCCTAAAGCCCACAAGCTAAGGCATGGTCCCTGGGTGGCACTGTGGGGAGAGGGTGGAGCTTTTAGAAGAGAGGTCCTGGGGCCGGAGAGATGGCTCAGTAGAATAAGCGCTTCCCTGGCAAATGTAAGGGTCTGAGTTCAATCCCCCGTTCCACCAAAAAAAAAAAAAAGGTCCTACAGGGAGGCCTCAGCTCATGGGGTGCCCTTGAAGAGGAAGGAGGCCCTGGCCCTCCCCTTTCTTGCGCCTCCTGCTCGTGAGGTGAGCGTTTGCCCATCACACGGCCCATACTGCCCTTCACGTGGCTGTAGACGGCCATCAGAATGGGCATAGCCCCACATAGAAGCAGCCCTAGTTATAGCCAGAGCCAGAGGCAGAGGCATAGACAGATACACGGGGCTTCAGACCAAATTTTTACTTCACGTAATCGTCTCCTGCATTTAGTTAACCCTTCCCTGTAGGATTCAGCACACAGGTTATGTGACGCCCGAGCAGTGGAGCTCTCGGCAGTGCCTCCAGAGAAGCAACAGTGATGGCGGGCCGAGAAGAAGAGCTTGACTTACATGAAA